GGCCACCTGGGACCGCATCCCGGCGGCGGTCAAGGCGCCGCTGAAGGACCAGCTGGACGGCTTCAGGTGGGAGGGGGGGGGGCGCCCTGAGGGGTGTGCCTGTCCTGTTTCAAGGGGGTCGGGGTGGGGTAGTGACCTCTACTGCGCGGGGCGTGCAGAGAAAGAAGAGATATCCAGGCACACCCCTGAGGGCGTGCGTGGCGAGCCCCCAACCGCAGCCCATTGACACCGCGCACGCACGATGCCATCCAGGGCCTTCCTTTGGAGTGCCCCGCACGGCCCCTGGTTCGCCCAATGAACCAGCCCCTACCAATTGAGTTGGCATGCCTGAGCCCAGTGCCTGCCACCTCATCTCCATCCTGTCTCCCCCACCCCACCCCCCCTCATGCTCAGGGAGTGGTATAACGGGGTCCTGGGTGAGGGGGAGGAGGTGCTGGCGTCACCGGGTGACGCCATCAAGCAGCACGCGCAGCAGGACGGCGGGCAGGCGCCAGACCTTGCCAAGCTGGTGCTCAAGTGAGGGGGGGGGACCATTGGCTGGCTGGAGAGGGACATGGGTGGCGCGGATGCATCGTAGAGTACGATTTTTGTTGACTGCTCTGCAGGCGGCTGCAGGTCAGAGCGCGGTGATCTTTGCTGTCCTCCCGGTATCCACGTGGTCATCACGGACCACTCGCCGATAGACCCCGCCCCACACACCGCCCAGCACCCGCCTCCCCCTCACACCACGCACCCTACGCGCCCACATAAACACACAACACACACGTGCACACACACACACACACACACACACACACGCATACGCACACGCACACACACACACACGCACACCCCAAGGTACAAGGACCAGCCCAAGGCTGAGGAGGAGGGCGGCGCCCTGGAGGCCGCCAAGAAGAAGCGCAAGGCGGAGGGCGGCGGCGATGAGGGCCACCGCCACAAGGAGAAGAAACACAAGAAAGAGAAGAAGGAGAAGAAAGAGAAGAAGTGAGGGCGGCGGGGATGGCGGGGTTGGGCAGGGTCGCCCCGGTGGCTCAAGCAAAGGCCGGCCGGAGCCGCGCGCCGCACCAGCCCCCAAACCGCCACGCCGCCGGGACGCTGTAGTTGCTGATGTCACGGCGAGACTGCACGTCCTGGCCCGTGGTCAGTGCCTGGCCCGCGGCTCGGGAGCCGCCGCCCCCCCCCCCTCCCTACACACACACACACACTTGTGGCCGCTGCCTCAGGGAGAAGAAGGAGAAGAGGAAGAAGCACCGCGATGAGGAGGACAGCGACTGAGGGGCGGGGCTATTAACAGCGCTGCACATCAGTTGCTGAGTTGGCGTTGTTGCGCTGGGGCTGTAACGCCCTGCGCCCTCGCGCCGCGGCACGCTTCGCGGCGTCCCCCCACCGCAAGCCACGGGCACTGGCGCGGATGCGGAGCGGCACAGGTGCAGCCGCATCCGCCCTGTCATAATCCCGGACAGCAGATCTTGGTTGGGGGTGTCAGGGGCGCAGCATGGGTGGGCATCGGTCCCGTGGTGGCAGGCCTGCTGCAATGGGGGCGGTGGCGCCCTGAGTCCTGGGGCCGGCACCTCGCAGTAGTCAGTTTTGCGCTGCAGCGCAATGACCCCTTCCTCACTGGGGCACATGTAAAGATGCACGCTTTGCGGGCCTCTGGCGTGCACATGCTTTCCACCCATGCAGTGCGAGCATCTCAGGCTGATGACAGCCGGCCACTCCGCAGCAGCCATCCAGCAGCTGCACCCCCCAGCAGGGTGCCTCGCAAGCCTGCAGCACTTTACGACAGCGGAAGAGATCCTGTTTTTAGGCATTCAATCTTAGCTGCTGCTTCTACCTCGTTCGCCAGTCGTGTCGACGGGGACCAGGCTGTGATCTAAGCTGCCGCACCTACATCGAGGTCTGCGGATAGAAACTTGAGGATTCTCAATGGCGCCCAAGCCGAAGGTGAGCTGAGCTACGTAGCCCGTGCGCCGTCCGCGGTGTGCGGCCTGTTCTGCGCACCCCCTTTCGGGAAATGGTACTTTGTGTGATCATGATATTTTTTATCGGGCAGCTTGGCAGCGTCGCTGCTGGACGCTGGCTTTCGCCACTGCGCGTGCACCGCCAGCCCCCCACTGCACGACCCGCGCTCGCTGCGCTGGCACCAGCACACCCGCCGTATCGCCTGCCCGCCCGCCGCCGCCATGCGCAGCCTGACAAGGCCAAGATAGCGGCGAAGCAGAAGGTGGGTGCGGCGCTGACGAGGCGGTCGTAGCGAAGCGGCGTGATAGGTGGTGCATGTCCACGCTGGGGAGCTCGGCTGCACCAGGGCACCGCCCGACGTCGTTGGCGCCCCGGCCTTTCGTGTGCCTTGTGCCGTTGCAATCGACGTTGCTGCAAGGAAGCCTCGTGGCAGCAGCAGCAACAGCAGCAGCAGCAGCAGCAGCAGCAGCAGCAGCAGCAGCAGCTTCAGATGCCCCGCAGCATCCATGGCCTGGCGGAAGTAGTCCTACTGCCCCCCCCCCCCCCCGCGCGCCTCTGACGCCGCCTCTTTCTATCAACCCCAAGGTGGCGGAGGACAAGACCTTTGGCCTCAAGAACAAGAACAAGAGTGCCAAAGTACAGAAGTGAGCAGTTGGCATAGCTGTTGGGACCTGGGCAGCAGCGGGAGGGGGGAGGGTCACGCTCACGGACGCCTGCCCGATGCAGCGGAGGCAGTGCAGCTGGGAGAGACGATACGACGCTTCACACACAAGCTGTGGAGCCGGTGCTCCCCCATGATCCCCCCCCTTCACACCCTAGACTCCCCGCCCTTGTTGAACCCTCCCCCTTGTAGGTATGTCCAGACGGTGGTGGCGGGGGCCAAGACGGCGGCGGTCGACCGCAAAACACTGAATGCGATGGAGGCCGAGAAGAAGGCCAAGGCGGTGCGGGAGGGTGTGGAGGGGGAGGCAAGGGGGGTGTGGGCAGGGGTGGGTTGAGGCAACGACTTTTCCAGGGTCCACATGCAGATGGGGTGGGGGGCGGAGGGCCGATGGCCTCCCGACGCGCGCGCAGACCACGAGTGCAATGCAAAGCGGGGGTGAAGAACAGCTCGGGAGGGCATGGAAGGAGGGGCAGGGGGGCGGCAGGGTGTGACGGTTGGCGGCGGGGGCTGAGGCCGCGAGTGGTTGCAACGGCTGCAGCCTGTGGTTGAATGGCCGCTGGGGCGGCCCTTCGAAGGGTACCCTGGCCGCTGCAGCCGCCGCTGCAGCATCTATGCTCTGGCTCTCATTGAAGCGCCGCCACCCTGCCTCGTGTCAGCGTAAGAGCAGCCCTTGCAGCTGCCCGGCGGACCCGCTCCCGCACAGTCACAGTCCTCATGCCGCCCCCCTCATCACACCGGCCCCTCCATTTCACACCGCACCCCCCAGGACAAGAAGGCGGCGGAGGAGGCGCGCCAGAAGGAGCTCAACGCGCTCTTCGCGGTGGCCATCAAGCAGCCCAAGGTGACAGCACTGCTGCTGCTGCGCGTGGTTGTCATTGCCTGCTTGATGTGGAGGGAGGCCTCTTGATGCGGAATGGGGCTGGGCGGGAGCAACATGGGGCATGCATGGAGGCGTGTGTTGGAGAGAGTGGGGCTCTTGGGCGCAAGGGGCAGTGCGGGCATGTTCGGCTGGGCACGGACGTCGCTGCCGGCCACCAGAAGCAACGGGTGCTGTGCTGCCGCGGCTGCCCCTTTCACTCGCCAACGCCTCCCTTAGTTTCGCTGCCGCCTGCTCCCCCGGCTCCCCCCCTCCTCTTTATCCCCCAGGTCCCCGTGGGTGTTGACCCGAAGAGCATTGTGTGCGAGTTCTTCCGCCACGGCCAGGTCAGCGGGGCGGCTGCCGGGCCGGCGACCGGGATGGCCTGAGCGCGCGGCAGCGCCCAGGGTGTGGTGCTGGGCAGCCGCAGAGCGGCAGCAGCAGAGCAGCTGCACAGCTGCTCGCGGTCCTTGGTGGGCCGTGGGCGCTCTTATGGGCGACCGCTTCTTGTCCTTCTCCCGTTCTCAAAGGCACTCATTCGAAGTGTCAGGTCACCCACTTAACACC